GGGTGCTTTGGAACATAGCTTGGCCCCTTCCTCTCTGTGGCAGCCCCTCCAATATTGGAAGACTGCTATCATGTCTCCCCTGGGCCTTCTCTTCCCTAGACTAGCCAGGCCCAGTTCCTGCAACCGTTCATTGTATGTTTTAGCCTCCAGTCCCCTAATCATCCTGGTTGCTCTTAGATTGCTCTTGGTTGTTCCTTGTTGTCCCACACAGAACCTGTGAGAAACCATGTGCCTGATATTTCCCTTGTTTCCAACCTTTTTTAGATTATTTAAAATAAAAACCAATCGAAAAATGCATGCATATTCTGGAGCAAAACACCCACCTTCAGCATTATCTGAATTTCCTACAAGTGCAGTGAACTTAGCTTAATATCTCAGGGGTATTTTTAAAGTTGGGTCACTCCAGCTCAGTGCTCTGTTTGAAAAGGTGCCCAGAAAAAAAATGGGACGGGTAAGCTAAGGTGGATAGGGATGCGGTGGCTCAGTGGCTAAGATGCTGAGCTTGTCAACCGGAAGGTTGACAGTGCGGTGGTGTGAATCCCTAGCGCCGCATAACGGAGTGAGCTCCCGTTACTTGCCAACCTAGCAGTTTGAAAGTACATAAAAAATGCAAGTAGAAAAATAGGGACCACTTTGGTGGGAAGGTCAGTGCTTGGTGCGCCTTCGGGGTTAGTCATGCCGGCCACATGACCATGGAGATGTCTTCGGACAGTGCTGGCTCTTTTCTTTGAAACGGACCCCTCTAGAGTTAGGAACAACTAGCACATATGTGCGAGGGGAACCTTTACCTTTAAGTAAGGTGATAGCTAACACATGAAAGGCAGTGTCATTGGAGGAAGGCATGACACAGTGTCCACAACCATAATCAAACCTTGTTTCTTTTTTTGTATATGCATCGTAAGTGCGTGTGCATTTTTTGAACCCCTCTTGCAAACAGTTCTTCATAACAAGCTTCAAAAGTCGTTTGATTGGCTGGAGGAAATAATGTTTCTTTCCCCTCTCCTCTCTTTCCTCCCTTGGCAGTTCGGATTCCGAAGGCAATTTTGGGACTCCTGAGGCAGAGACGCCAATACACTCCTTGGGGAAAGAGTTGGAAGAACTAGATCTGGAACTGGATGTTGAGCCCCAAGGTAAACCACCGCTGAGCCTTACTTTTTCTTCCTTCGTTGAAAATGCACAGCGCATCCTGTTTTCCTTGCTAAGTCCTTTTTGTGTGTGTGTGGCTCATCACTTGGCTCTGTGCACGGTCTAATAGGGACGAAGCTGTGTGTTCATCATATTTTAGCGCAACCTTCTGGTAATTTGAGCGGAGCATAGATCTGTTGTTTTTTTTCTATTGTATTTTGCTGCGGATGCGCTCCGTGAAAGAAAGCTAGGTAACCAGATGGACTTACGTTTAAGAATGTCCTTGCAGCAGTGTGAAAGGCCACTGGAATAAGTTCAGTTGACTGAAAATTGCAGTTTCTATTAATAATAAAAACAAGAAAGGTCAAAAGCAAATTGCTCGCCCTTCAGGGCTGGAAACATTTGATAAACAGACAGTTGCTTTTTATTAAACTTGGAAGATCAGGTGTTTTATTATGTTACGTTGGATTTTTCAGATCCTAGACTGGTGGCAGTTTGAGCTCTGTTTATATGTAGGCCTGTGGGTTCTTCCTTGTGCAGTCAAATCAGAGGATGAAATATGCTCATTTGAACCTTTCATAGCAAATATAATTTCCTGCTGGCAAATTCCTGAGTTCCTGAATGGTTGATAATCACCATGAATAATGGGGACAGTCCCTTTGTTCATATTCTCGTTCAAATTGTTTGCTTGCAAAAATACACCCCCCCCCCAGTTTTCTAACTGAGAAAAACCTACTTTCAATCCTGAGATTTAGCAAGATGCCTTTAGAAAATGTTCATTAGGAAATGATCTTTATTTTTGTAGGGTCCCTGCTCCATCTCCCATAATCTGGGCAATACATTCTGTTAAGTCATGACTCTTCTCCATCAACGATTATTACTACTGTATTTTTCAGAGTATAAGATGCACCTTTTTCCTTCAAAAAAGAGGGTGAAAATCTGGGTGCATCTTATACACTGAATACAGCATTTTTGGCTTCCCAAAACCCTGCCCTCTTCATCAAAATGGCTGTGCATAGCGTTTAGGAGGCTTGCAGGGTGCTCCTGGGGGCTGGGGAGGGCAAAAATAAGTGAAAAATGGGCCATTTTGGGGAGGTTTGCAGAGTGCAAAAACTTTTATTTTGCCTCTTTAAAATCTTGGTGTGTCTTATACTCCAATGCGTCATATTCCAAAAATATGGTAATAACTGAATGTAAAATATTGATACTGTAGTAGCATTCCTTCAAAAAGCTTAACGCAGCATAAGGGGAGCATCCATGCTCCCCTTAAAGTAGGGAAAAATGAAGAGCAGAAATGGCTTCTCTGTGAATTTGCTTTAATTAGGATTTGCTAAATAAGCTTTAGTTGACAAATGGCTGCATCAGAAATCTTGGTTTAGAAACCATAAGGTCAGCTGTATGCAAGCCACATGGTGGCTTAGAGCAAGGAACTGTGCAAAGATTAGTTGTACTAATTCTCATTCGTCATCATCTTCTTTTAATGACCCCATAATATTTTGCGGGATGAAGAAACTGAATGCAGCTAGTAGAGTGTTTTAATGGCCAGTTGCCCTTCCTGTTGCCAATGTGGAGTTTTGTTCAGCAGATATATCCTCAGTGTACTAACTCTCATTCCATTCTTAAAATTCATATCCCTTTCTTTGCACCATTGTGGGCTTGTTCCTGAATTCCCCCAAGCACACACCTTGTTGATTTGAACAGGAGCAGCCAAAAAGCAAAAAAGTATCAGTATATTCATTTGTTTGTTTAGTGCAAGTGCTTTTTTTTGCAACTTTACTCAAACCAAATCCAGCTGGCTTTCAAAACCTATCAACAATCAATAGCTCTAGCAAAATCAAGCACTCATGATACATAGATGCATATTGTGGTATTGTTATGATCACTGTTACAAAACTGAATTGTTACATATCTCAAAATAATTCAATTGCGCCATAGTGGCAATAATGAGCAACCACCCACAATCTCCACATGCATCTTGGGTACTTAGTATTATGGAGTGTGGGGGTATCAAAAAAGTAAAAATGGCAGCCATGGACCCATTAAAAATGGATGCGACTCTGTTTGCCTGATCGCAGCTGCCAAAGAGCTGCGGTGGCGCAGTGGTTAAGAGTGCAATTCTGCAAGCTACTTCTGCTGCCTGCCGGCTGCCTGCAGTTCGGCAGTTCGAATCTTGCCAGCCTCAAGGTTGACTCAGCCTTCCATCCTTCCGAAGTGGGTAAAATGAGGACCCTGATTGTTGGGGGGTGGGGTGGGGGCAATAGGCTGACTCTGTAAACTGCTTGAGTAGAGGGTTGGACTAGAAGACCTCCAAAGTCCCTTCCAGTGTTTTTATTCCCCGTTCTGTGTGCTTTGTATGAGCCCATAAATACAATGGAACAAATTTCCTTTGGAGTTGGATGCTAGAATTTGTCATGATTGACCCAAACACCTATCTGCCCAGCTTTGCACAGATGTCATTCCTGTGTGTGTGTATGTGTGTGTGTGTAAGAGAGAGAGAGAGAGAGAGAGAGAGAGAGAGAGAGAGAGAGAGAGAATATGGAGCTATGAAAGGCTGGCATTCCTTTGCATTCTGCCGACCAAGTAGCCCTTCGTTTTGATGCAGGTCACGTGTTGCAGGCTGCTTCTCATCAGGATAAACACACCTCACACCGTCTAGGCGAGCCGGGGAGGGAGCGGGTTGTGTGTGTCTCGAACGTGACAGCTCCCTTTGTCACGGTGGAGGAAGTGGATCTTTGCGGTTTTTCATGCTTAGCAAAACAACAACCAGGCGGTGCGGGGATGTCTTTATTTAGCACAGTTGCTGCAGGAGGGGTTAACAACCGAGGGAGCACAGGCTCTCTTGGGGGGGTTTCCAGGACTGTCCTACATTTTTCATCTTACGGAATTTCTCCTTTCTCGGAATTTCTCCTTTCTCGTCCCTCAATCCTTTTTCCCCCCTCCATTTCTCTGTAAGCATGAAATTTGTATTACAAAGAGGGAAACAGCGGGGAATCTCGCTGCTGAATTTGAGGCTTTGCAGGGCTATAAATTAGACTGTGGAGTTTAAAAAAAAATTCTGGCAGGATAAAAGGGCAAGCCATTTCCCTATTATTATTTTATCGTGCCACGAATAGATGCAGTAAACCTCTGTATTTTGTAAAAGAGGAAGGGGGGAGCTTCCCTCTTTTTAATATGTGCCTGGTTGTCCCCTGATCCGTTTTCTGAAATGAACAAGGACGCTATGACTGCAAAAGACTGCCTTGTGAATCCATCTTAGTCAGATTAACAGAGTTGGAAGGGACCTTATAGGTCATCTAGTCTAACCCTCTCCCCCCCCCCCCCCCCAAGCAGGAGACCTTACACAGTTTCTGACAGATGGCAGCCCAGTCTCTTCTTGAAAGCTTCCAGGGATGAAGCTCCCACAACGTCTGAAGGCAACTTCTGTTCCATGGGTTGATTGAATCACATTAGGGATTAGATCACATTAGGCACTGCAAATAATCCTCAATTTATAACCACAGTTGAGCCCAATTTCTGCTGCCAAGTGAGATGTCCACCAAGTGAGCCCTGCCCCATCCCATGATCTGCCACCGCCATTAAATGAATTCCTGCAGTTAAGTCAATAACATGATTGTTAAGTGAATTTGGCTTCCCCATTGACCCTGGGACACTGCAGCCGCCACACACATGAATCAGCCGCCAAGAGTCCGAACCCAACCACGCGACCATGGGGATGCCTCAATGGCCACAAGATCCTTAAGTGTCTGAACAAAATCTTTGCAATGCAAGGAGCGAAGATTAAAAAGAATCTTTTTCAAATAATCAGAATAGAGCCGGAAGGGACCTTGGAGGTCTTCTAGTCCAGCCTCCTGCATAAGCAGCAGACCCTACACCAGTGGTGGCGTACCCACCCCCATAATTTAATGCCCCCCCCCATGCCATGACCTCTGCGCATGGCTTTCTTGGAGCCTGGGGAGAACGAAAATGGCCTCTCTCCCCCCGCCCCCCCCCACTCCCAAAACAGAAATAGCCTGTTTTCTGACTTCCAGTGGGTCTGGTAGGTCCATTTTTCACCCTCCCCAGGATCCAGAGGCTTTCTAGGAGCATGGGGAAGGTGAAAAACGGCCCAACACACAAACCGGAAGTCCGTTCCCAAACTTCCGGTTTGCACGTCAGCTCCAGTGGGCATGCGCACGCTGGCCAGCTGATTTTCGGCCATTTTTCACCCTCAGACCATTTAAAAAAGGTCTCAAATGAATCTGAACTTCTGTTTTCATCTGGTTCATTCCTTCCTCAGAAGTAAGATGCAGGGGGAAAAAGGAGATATTGGAGATATTCAGTTAATTTTTTATATATATATATAATTGTCATTGTTCATGCTGTAGCTTGCAATCCTCCACATTTCTAGCAGCTGCTTCTGGGAAAAGCTGTTTATTTTCTGTTATCTGATGCCTGAAGAATTCTATAGCATGCCTGAGATTGATTTGTTGCATTTTCTTCCTGAGAACAGCCACTTCTTAAAAACAAGACAGGTAGTCCTCGACTTACAACAGTTTATTTAGTGACTGAAGTGACAGTGGCACGGGGAAAAAAAGTGACGTATGGCCATTTTTCACACTTTACAACCATGACGGCATCACCATGGCCACAGGATCAAAATTCAGATTCATATTTATGACCGTTGCAATGTCCCGGGGTCACGTGGTCCCCTTTTGTGACCTCCTGACAAACAAATTCAAGGGGGAAGCCAGATTCACTGAACAACTGTGCCACTAGCTGAACATCTGTACGGATTCACTTAACAACTGTGGCAAGAAAAGTCATAAAATGGGGCGTAAAACTCACTTAACAAATGTCTCACTTAGCCACAGAAATTTGGGGCTTCAGGAGTCTGTGAGTTCGATCCTGGGTAGAGGTACTTCTCTATCTGGGCACAATGAGAATATATCTGAATAAGAGAATATATCTGAATAAGAGAATATATCTGCTGAACAAAACTCCGCATTGGCAACAGGAAAGGCATCTGGCCAGTAAACCCTTAGCTTCCATTCCATTGCCCAGACTCCATCCCACAAGGGATTATGCGGTCATTAAAAGAAGATGAGTGGTGGTTGTAAATCGAGGACTACCTTGTTCTTACAATCCTGGAAATGCAGCATCTCAATTGCACTCTAGCTTTGGGGATAAACCTTTAGGTAGCTCATGCTGAGAGAAAGCAGTTTGATGGGTGATTTAATCTGGCTCTTGCTTGCAATTCTAATTGGGAGGCTTTGAGCCTTGGGCAGAAGCGGATCAGTGAAGGCAGCCCCAGGAAATGCTCCTTTTCTGCTTCATTGTCATCTCATCAGGCGGTCTGAGGCTAAAAAGGACGGACAAATTGCTGACATTGTCAGAAGGGATAGTGACTTCCCAAATTTGCCCTTTATTTTGCAAGACAGTTCATTCTGGAGTAACCCAAAGGTGCTTTTTTTTTTTCAAGCGGCAACTGAACTTCCTTGGTTTTCCCTTTGAAGACATTTTGCTTCTCGTCCAAGAAGCTTCTTCAGGTTCGACTGGATGGTGGGGAACGGGAGGATTTATACTTCTTGCAGACAGCTGGTCATTTGCATCTTTTTAGAGGGTCGTTGAGGCCACTTGGAGGTTTATCTGTGTCCACAGGGTCACCTGAGTGATGCAAATGGGTGTCGAGCCTTCCTGGCTTCAGGATGTTTTTCTGTCCTGTGTCCCTTCAGTGTTGAAGACAGGCGGAGGCTGTTGGGGACAAGTCTATGTTATCTACCGTATTTTTTTGAGTATATGACGCAGCGGAGTATAAGATGCACCAAGGTTTTGAAGAGGCAAATTTTTAAAAAAAGTTTTTTCACTCTGGAAACCTACCCCTAATGGTCCATTTTTCACAAAAAAGAGCCCTTTTTTTCAAAAAAAGGGCATAAATAGCCCTTA